ACATTGCTTTATATATATATATATATATATATATTCATGATATGATTGACATAATATTTCACAACTCGCAACTAAGACTTAATCTACATATGTGAAACATAACTTAATTTTAAGTTTTTATTCATGGTTATAATTGATACACGTTATTTTATTTATATTATTGTGTATTATATCTTGGGTCAAATACAATGACAATTACCATTGTATTCACCCTCATGATCCTTCAAATAGCCAAGCTTTTAAAGTTTCTGATCTAATGAGCAATGATAAGAATGGTTGGAACGATATTTTGATTAATTCCCTGCTAGATAAGGACACCAGCAACCGGATACTCAACATTCCTATTCTCAACCCACGCTGTGAAGATAAACGTATTTGGAAATGGAACCCCTCGGGTTCTTACACTGTTCGTTCTGCTTATAAAGGTTACCTCCAGCATTGCCTCTCCATGGGTAATCTCAATGTTCCTGGTCCATGGAAAAACATTTGGAATCTACGTATTCCCCACAAAATTAAGCATTTCATATGGAGATTGATGCGAGACATCCTTCCCACGCGGCCAAACCTTCAAAAGAAAGGCATTCGTTGCCCAAGTACATGTTTCCGATGTAATACTGATATCGAAAACACCTGGCACACTTTCTTTAGTTGTCCATCAGCCAAGTTGTGCTGACAGGGAAGTAATCTTCACTCTTGTATCTTGAATTTGATCAACTCCTCTGATGGTGTCTTTAACCTCATATCTCATATTTTACAGCATTGGACCCCTCAAGCTGCTGCAGAATTTTCCATGATTCTCTGGAGCATGTGGCACAACCGGAACGCTTTGCATTGGAGTAACACTCCTTGGAACCCAGACGAGATCAATCTTCGCGCCTCCTCCATGCTTCATGATTGGGCCACTGCTAACAGAATCGACCTGGTCCAGCGCACTAAAACCCAAACCAGACAGCGGTGGTCTCCTCCCCCCCCAAGGGTCATTTAAGTGCAACATTGCCACTCACTCTTTTCCAGTGGAAGGACTTACTGGAATAGGCATCTGCATTAGAGACCATCAAGGTGCCTTTGTTAGAGCTCGTTCAACCACTATCAAAGGCTGTTTGGAACCCCACATTAGTAAAGCCTTTGCTCTTCTTCATGCTATCAACTGGACACATAACCAGAACCTGGAGGACATCATTTTCGAAACCGATTGTAATCGCATCCCTTCCTATTTCTCCAATCATCACTCTGTTGACATAACTAAATTTGGTTGCCTTCTTGACCAATGTAAGCCTATCATGGTTAACCCCCCAAACTCTCATGTGAGTTTCTCCCCTAGATTTGCCAATATTGTTGTTCATAAGCTTGCTAAAGCAGTAATAGAAAGTGCAAATCACTGTGACTTTTTTTACATCCCAAATTGTATCATTTATGATATTCTTAATGATATGAGCTAAAATTTTGAATTTAAAAAAAAAACTGTTTTATTAATTTATTATAAACAAATAATTTAATTTTTCTTATCCATAAAAAAAATTAAATAAGAAATTAATAAAACTTTTTTTAATTACCATAAAATATAATAATTTACTTTAATAATTTTTAATTTTTCTATTTCAAAAAATGATTTGCCCGTGGGCTTGACTAGGCCCAAAAATGTTTTGATCCGAACTAAGAAAAAAACTCCTCAAACCTTTTTGCTTTGGGCTTGCATCTCCCATGTTAGGTACGCTCAGCCTTCACCTTGATTACCTCAGTTATTTGCTATGTTAGCTCCTTCAGTCATTTTTCTTTTCTTCCTTTTATAATGCAACTATCATCTTAGTCCAACGTATTATTAGGCCTAACATAAATTTTAATGTTAAGTGTTTATAAAATTTCAAAAAGTAATACAAAAATTGGAGGTCTTTAAAAGGTAAAAACAATCTTTTCTCCAACAATATTAAAATTCTATTTATAAAAACTATTTATAAAACAAATTCACTTTAAAATTATCATACTAAATTAATAAGCTAATAATATAAATGTATCTATATTAATATAAATACTAATATATATTATATATTATTTGGAAGACCTAAAGTAAGAGCTTCTCTTGTATTGGTTAAGTCGATCATGACAATTATGATTTTTTTATTTGTTATTTTAATTTTTTTTATAAAATAATATAGGTGGAGCAAAAAAGAATATGAATAGAAACTGAGAATAGAAAATCATAACATCCTAAAATTGTTATGATTTTTTATTTTAACAACTTAACAGAAAATAAATAATTTTTTAAAAATTACTTTTTTTATGCAAAATTGATTCTACCAAAATTATCTAATGTTGACACTAACTACAAATTAATTATTCACTGTCGGGATTCTATGTTCACCATGAGGTAACAAACTTGCATCGTCCTTAATTGGATTCTTGACTATTCAAATAAGCTACTAATTTTTTAAAACATGATGCTACGCAATATTTTAAAATTAATAACAAAAAAATAATATGCATGATTTTACTAGTTAAATATTATTTTAATGTCATAGAAATTGATCTTAAGTGATTTTACTAGTTAAATATTATTTTAATGTCATAGAAATTGATCTTAAGAATATTATATCAATTTTTTTATGTAAATTTTAATGATTAACAGATAAATATAAAATAAATTATTAAAATTACAGATTTTATAAAATTAAATAACAAAAATTATAAAATTAAAAATTAAAAGATCAGAATATTATAAGAGATCCAAAGTGAAATTTAACCGTTTTCTTTCTTCCCTCACCTTCCTTCCTTTTATTCAAACGTGCCATAAATGTTGTTACAAAGCTTGTACGACTCGAAGAACTCACATCGGATAATATTATATTCACCTTTATACATGTACAAACTAACATGTGTTGATGGACGAAAATTTATCCGTGCAAGAAAATAAGGTTGTTGGTTTTGGACTTTTGAGATCACAGAAGTTGTATCTTTATCTGCTCTACGATCATCGGTAATTGATAAAGGTGAATATAATATTACTGTTAACCTGTCAAACTATGTTTCTGAATAATTTTCACTTGCAACCATATAACACAAGTTGTTTGGCTTTTATGCTCAAAGAAATTGTAGCCTTAGTTACAGTAACATGATTGCTCTGACAAGTTAATAGCTCTGTTCAAAACCAAACAAGCCCTCATCACATATTGGTGATTTTAAGGTATGATGTTATCCACTTCCAATTGATTAATGTATATATGTACAATAAATTAGAGCAATTCTTATACAACAAAGAAAAGAACATGTAAAAAAAGAAAAAGAAAAAAGTATAGAATAAATAAGACAATGAATAAAAATAGGAAAAATAATATAAAAAAACTTAAATAATACATTTTTACATAAAATAGATTTACTACTTAAATAAAAATAACAATAAATCAAATTTAAATTATGTATAATCCAACTTGATTTGTAAATCAACATATAAATATATATCTTATATAATAATTCCAAGCTCTATATATAAATATATAATTTATATATAAAAAAATTATTTAATTTTAACTCATTAATACTTAAAAAAAATTAAAAACTTAATTATAAATTAATAATAATATAAAAGTCACCATTTTAAGATTTTATGGTTATAAATTAAATGTTTTATTATTTTAAGCAAAATATAATTTATGCAAACATTAGTTATAATATTTTTTAAAAGATTATATTTATAGCCTTACAAAACTAATAGAACCATTTTTTTCTTAAAAAAATTAAACAATTATTTAATCTAAAATTTATTAATAAATTAAAAATTACAATTATTTTATCTATAATTTATTAATAAATTAAATATTTTGAGACATATAAAATTAAAAAACAAAATTAACTATTTGAACTAACAAGTTGTTCACAACGGTCAATCGAACCGAATCAATTATTCTAACTAAAAAAATGTTTATATCAAATTTGAATCAAACTTACATCATGACATTGAGGCAAGCTAATCCAAACTCAACTCTCATTTCCAACCTTAGTTAAACACTAATTGTACTCTCATTTAGATTCTCATTTCTCTCTATATAAAAATAAACATTTATAGTCGATCAAAATAGCACCCAAAAAATGCATAGTAACTCAAATTAGCTTCAATTCATAAAACTCACCAAAGCTTTCATGTATGTACATCACGAAAGCTTTCATTATGTACACACATCATTAACACAGGCCAAAAACAATTGCCCCAGAAAATTTTATGTCTGATTCCAACAACGCTACAAAATCCCAAGCATGGGTATACATAGAAAGCACTGTAAAATCTTAAAATTCCGGGTACAATTATCATGTGCAATATCCACCATTTCCCTGTGACTCCGATGCTAAATTGCTAACTAAGAACGTGTCATTCATAAAGGTCACAGCGAATCACGTTTCTGATAACCCCTCGTATTATAAGTGAGTAAAAAATTATTTTGTTCCCTGAAAATTTTGAGACCAGTCACGTTAGTCCTAAAAAACAAGAATCACAGTTCTCATTTTTGAAAAAAAAAAAAAAGAAAAAAAAAGTCAACCAATACACTGATTTTTTTTTTCTTTTTATCATAAGTACTGAATTGATCGACATTTTTTGTATTAGTTTTTTGGGAGGAAAATAGTAATTTTCCTATTTGAGAGACTAACGTGACAAACTCTAAATCTTGCAGAAACAAAACGTGTTTTCACTCTATTTTAAGCAGCAGAAACAAAATTCTTGGTGAAATCTCGACCAGAAGAAGAATATTTTCTGTTAGGGACCATCTGAAACAGCAAGTTGAAATGGTCATAACTCAGTTCCAAGTTCCAATCACCCGAATGAAACTTGAGATTCCTAGCAACAAAAGGATGCAATATAAAATAAAATATTACCTGATCATTGCCTTCTGATGCATCAGTTATCAATGATCTCTGTCGTTTCACCTTGCTTTTTTTACTTTGCTTTTTGCCTTTCACTTCTTCATCGACAAAGTTCTGGTCTGACATCTCTGCAAGAGCCACATAATCAAATTAAAATACTTTAATAAATGGAATTGCCATTCATAAATCATAGTATACGTACACAAAGAGCAGTAAGCTAAATTACTGTGTTTGGATTCACATCGGTTCATCATGTTAAAATACTAGCTAACATAATTTAGGTACATGTTCACATGTTTGGTTTTTTTTTCAATTTTTAATAACTATGCCATTAATACAAAGTATCCATAATGCTTTCCTAATAACTAGTTACTAAGTTTTGCGAGAAAACTTAACTGATTACTTTAGTCCTGAGGTGTTACATGTTTAATTTGACATTGAGAAATCGATTAAATGTCCAAAATTGATTTTGATTTACAACTTTAGATATCTTCTACTTCTAGTGTTCTACATAGTCAGTTTAGACGCATGTTATCAATGTTTTCAGAGCTTCTCTATTAAAAGAAATTCTTTATTTTCAATAGAGAAACTCTCAAAAACTCTTGTAAGTTTGCATCCAAGCAGACTCCTAATATACTCTTTCTAAAGGGTCACCAATAAACATTTGTTTGCCACATTTGATAATACTATAAATTAGAATTTAACAGATAAAGACACTGTGGGTCATGTTATGCATGCCATGCAGGAAAGCTGAGATAGTAAACAATTTTAAAGATGATATTCAAAGTAGAGGTGGTAGAAGAAGATTTAGGCTCACCTGTATCACTGCAAAGCATATCCTTATGGCAGACACGAGATTCACACATATGAAGATGTCCTGATGCAGTGGAAACTCCTTTCCTTTGGCCTAAATCAACAACTTTGCTTGATGTAGTAACACTTTCTTGAAGGGATGGAGCTACTATGCCTCTCTGTTTGCTTGAAGTTCGATAGTGCTGAATCCATGGGTTTTCTGTCAAGTCATGACACTGGCTAATCCTACTCATTTGTGGATTATCTCTTTGAAAATTGATTTTTTGCCAACACCCACCACGAAGCACTTTGAACTGCAGGAAGGTATATAAGTTAGGATCATCAGATTCTGCAGGATGTGTATACAGGCTCTGTTTAGAAAAATTTCTTTAAAAACACTTCTAGGAGAAAAAAATAAGAAGAAAAATCTAAATAAACTTTTCTATAAGCTAAAAACTAGTTTATGCATAAGTTAAAAATAAGATTTTGAAGAAGTTAATAGGAGAAAACTTCTAAAAATAAGTTTATATATAAACTAATTTTAACTTACGAAAAAACTTATTTCATTTTTTCTTTATATTGTTCTCTCCTGGAAGTGTTTTTGAATAAATTTACTCAAACAGACACATAATCTTAAATAATTTAATGCCCCCACAAGGCCACACTAATTTCAAGGAAAGAAAAGGCAACAACAAAAGATTTTTATTTTTCATTCAATCACAAATTGGTATGTATGATAAGTTAGTTAACTTCGTAATAATTACATTAAAAGTCATATTATCACGGTTTCTGATTTTTTATATAGTTTTTTTTGCACCACGATGCATATAAATTAAACCCAAAAGAGAAGTAATGATGTTCATGATAACAACCAAATCTCTCTTCTAAAATATATTGTTTACATTAAATCAAGTCAAATTTTTGGAATGTATGGATCAAATTAAAAAGGAAACCTGGCCAGAAGTGGTAGCAGGGTCAATTGAAGTTCCTTTGCACATTTGCTTAGAATCATATAACTGATTAACAAAAGATGCTTCTATAGACTTTATATACATGCTGTGTTTCTCGTCTGTCCACTCTGCACCCATTGTGGATTCCGTCTCCCTAATGCCCTGATATGCATACCAAACCCCAAAATCATGTTAATACAATAAATAATATATATGCCAATACAAAAATAGTCTGCAAACAAGAACTTCTATCAGCAAGAAAAAAGGAAAACAAAGTTCTATACATTTGGTGTTATAATTTCTTTTTTAATACATGCATACAAATTTCCGACCTATACTAAAAACAATTACCTTTTCCTTCTATATGATTTTCAAAAGTGACCAAAATTCAAGGAATATATACATCATACTATTATATATTATATTCATCAAAAAATTAAAAATTGGTAAATAACAACAAATCATCATATTTGTTAAGTGAGGCTTCACTTGACAAATGTGACGATCACATTACCAATATCTATTTTTTTGGTTTTTATAGTATCTAATAGTGTGATGTATATATTCTTTGAACTTTGATCACTTTTGAAAATCACACAGAAAAAAAAACACATAGAAGATAACGATTTTTAAGTATAATCCGGCAAATTTTATTAATAAACAAAAAATTCATACCAGCTTTTATTTAAAACAAACACTTCATTTATTTTAATTTAATTTAATTTTGAAGGAACATTAATGTAGTTATCTGTTCATTTATTTTAATTAAATTTAATTTGAAGGAACATTAATGTAGTTATCTGTTCGTAATTTCAAAAATATCAAAATGTGATAGCTGTACTTCAAAAAAAAACATATCAAAATTTTGTCAATTCATTAAAACATATTTCTTCAAAAAACAATTCACTAATTTCATCAAATAAATACTTATATTTTAGTTTATTTAATTTAAAATATAAAAAAGAAAAGCAAATATTAACCAGCTCTACTATCCTTCTATTTTAAAAAATATAGTTTTAAGAATTTAATTAAACCCATTAGTTTCATATGATATATTAGTAAAGAAGTTCAGTTGTATGTTTTATGGTATAAGATGACAACAAATATTCAAATAATAGTGCTACTCCAAGTCCAAGTCCAAACATCCACTCAAATAGGACCCCGCAAACACAGGGCTTGTACTGTTTCTATGAGAAATATCTTTACCAATCCCTGATATCTCTACAAAATCTTTGATTCAATATAATATCTAAAAGATAGGAATATAATTAAAAATAAAAATAGTACTCAGTAATTAATATTATTTTAGATTTTTAAATCAATAATTGACAGTTAAATATAATCTTTCTAAATATCAGATTATAAAAATAAAAATAAAATAAAAAAAGTACCAAAAAAAAAAACAATATCCCACCATCACAATTTTTTGTTATATAACATTTTTATTCATACAAACACTAAATTACAAATATATATATATATATATATAAAAACTAAAATAAACTCGGTTATCATTATCATCATCATATTCTACATTTTAAACCTTGATCTGATTCTCTTTCCACAACAATTTTTTTAACCGTTAAACAAGTCTTCATTCATGTAGAAATTTTACTTCTTGGTTCAAAAACATTAAACAACGAAGAAGCCCTGAAAATTGATCAGCTGAAAAGCTATATAAAACTCTTAAAACACTTAAAAACATGAATTCAGACATGAATCAACTTTAAAATCTCTGAAAATTGAACAGCTGAAAGCTATATAAAAATCTTAAAACACTTAAAACGTAAATTCAGACACCTTACAAAACCCCGACTCATAATCTCTTCCCTTATATATTCAAGTATACAACTCAATGTATATTTCTTAAATTACAAAATCCATCGTAGATACGAAAAATTTATTAAGAAAGTAATAGTAGTGAACATTAAACAATCTCCATCATTTAAATGTCCTTCAAGCTTTTATAAATATAATTAAACGGAATATTCTTTATCGCAGATCAAACGAAAGCATGAGCGAATTTACTTGAATTCAACAAAGGTAACAATAATCAGCAAGATGATGAACATGAAGCATAATTTATTTGCGATTCTAAAGAGGATTAGGAAGTTTTATAATAATAATAAAAAAGAGCAGATATGTAAATGAATGAAATTAGGAGAAAGAAAAGGTTACCTTGTCGGAGTTGTGGAAGGTGGTTGGAGTTTCTTGTTTTAGAACTCTGAGATTGCTCTTCATGATGATGATGGTGTGTATTGAATTTGGAAGGGTGAAGAAGAATAAGAAGGAGAAGGAGAGAGGGCGGTGATGGGGAGGAAAAGGGAATACAGTTGTCTGCGCTTTTACACGTGTCGTGGGACCAGGCCATGGCCACGTCACAGTCAGGCTACATTAGCATGGGAGATAAGACGCTGCCGTAGATATTTTCATCAACTATCAAAAATATCTGTTATCCTTCTTCTTCATCATTTAATTAATATATAAATATAAATATGTTGGTAGCATCAACAGTACTACTACTGCACTTAAAAATCTGCCACCTCATTCTACCAGTTTTTTCACACCTTTTTCCTATCTAGATATTTTATTGCTGCACTTTCACTTTTTACAAACTTGTTTTTTAAGTAATCCAGTTAAATAGCATCTCAATTTTTCATACCATCCTTTTGTTTTTTTTGAAATAAGAGATTAAAGATTTTGTTTAATTTTTTTACTAAAAATTAAAATTAATTAGAATACAATAAAATGTTTTTTATATTGTGATTTGATTGGGTGGTTAGTTAATTATTTTAAAATTTTGAAAGTTATATATAAGAACAATCCTATAAATAAGTAGTTAAAATGATTATAAAATAATAAAGACAAAATAATAATTCTAAATTTATAAGAATTAAAAATAAAGATTTTTTATTTTATATAAATTAAAATCAAAACCTACTTATCTTACAATGACTAAAAATAATAGTTCTAAATTTTATAAAAATGAAAGATAATTTTTTTTTACATAAATCAAAATTAAAACTTATTTATTTTATAAGAAGTAATACATATTTAAACTTATTTCTTATATCTTAATTTTATTATATCAAAATATAAGAGTGATGTATTTTCATTTGTTTATTTTAAATAATTTATTTTTAAAGATTTTAATTCAAGAACTAAAGGATAAAATCTCCTTCCTTTTAAAAGTGTATCAACTAAATTCTTTTTACGGCTTCCACCAAGATGAAGTTATTAAAATTACAATATAAGTATTTTTTTAATCTGTTTTAACTAATATTTTTTTTATCAGTAATTACGAGAATAGTTTTATTTTTTATTTAAACTTAAAATTATTTTTGTATACTACTCCAACTCTTAATTATTAGATAAATTTTTATTTTTCTGGTACATACTTGTGCATAAGATGAGTTTAAATTTTTTTTATAAAAATGAATCTTGTGTTATCTAAAGATTAAAACGTATTAAACATTTCAAAAGAGTGTTTTGTTGCAAATTAATCTAATATATATCTAAAGTTTTCAATTATTGATTGATGTGTATAAAAAAAAATATATTAAAAGAAGTTAACTCTTTATATAAATTTTAATAATAATTAATCTTAATTTTAGAACGGTGATATTTTATTTTAAAAAATTATCTAATCCATTTGAGTTTTTTCTTTTAAAGTATTTCATTCTAAATTCAGAAAACGTGAATGGATGAATCATATTCTGATTTAGTAAAAAAAATAATGAAACGTAATAGGTTGAATGTCGTATAATTAAATTAATTTTATCTAAGTCAAACCATATAGATTCATGACGGCATTTAGGAGGATTAGAAAAGAGTAAAGAAGAATGCGGCTTTGGTAAACAAATGGGTCACGACAACCACGATATCTGTGACCCAGATAAAAAAAACAACGGCAGGGACAGGCTCACATGATCGAATTCGTTTGGTTAATACAGCGAATTCAAAAATAAAAAAATAAAATAAATAAACAAATATTCCAGCAAAGCTCGTGAGAAATAAAAATGAAAAATAGATCCATAGATGATAGAACACATGATGGAGTATGAAGCATCGTGCTACAACATCAGCATCCATTTTATCCCTGGACCCTGATACTCTTTTCTTGTAGTATAAGCCTTTGGTTGCATTTCTTTCAAGATATATGATATGATTATATTTTAAGAAATGTCATTTTCGAGAATAATATATTTGTGTCCCAAAAGAAAATAAAAGAAAGTCATTTTTTATAAATTTAAACACATGTTTGGTTATACCTTTTTGTTATCATTGTCTAATTAGAAATATTATCATTGTCTAATTAGAAATATATACTAAGTCGATAAAAAAATTATATATTAATAATAAAGAGAATATTTACATAAATTTTTAGACAATTATACTTTTAATTAATTTTAAAAATCACTCTTTTATAGTAATTTTACATTTTTTAACCATATTTATTTTTAACTAAAAATATTTTTTTAACCCACAAAAGACATTGTTTTGTAACTAGTGAACGTAATGAGAATATTTTATTTCAATTCCAAATGATATAAAAAAGTAAGAATGAGAATAAAAGTCGATAATTTAATTATATAATAATTTTTAAATTTTCATAAACTGTCAATAAATTGATTAAACATAACAAATATGTGTATTATATTTTTAAAACACTTTGTTAAGAATATAAACATGTTGTTAATGCAATAATTAAAAAATTAAACAAATAAAATTATTTGAAGACTGAAATTATCCATTAACTATAATAAATAAATAAATAAAAACTAAAAGTACATTCAAACATTTTTTTTATTATTTTAACTTCTGATATTATAGCTTACTGCTTCTGATATTATAGCTTACTGCGTGTTTGATTTTGATGGTGTGTTTGATTTTGATGGTGCTCCGTCCAAGAAGTACATCAAATGTTTGACATCTATTTTTGACATTTCTAGAATTCGATTTTTCTTTTCCTGGAATGTAATGAATTGGTGCATGTTTAAATATGCATTCAGATCAATTTTGTCGATAAATATCAATGATGCAGAAGTAAATATTTACTGCTTCTACTTGACCCGCATCGACACAGAACCAAACAGAGGCATAGTCATATCAGACTTTTCCCTCTAAACAACATTTTAGTACTTGGTGTAACCAAAAAAATAATCTTAGCACTTAATAGGAAAGTAAACACACTAATGGTTGCAAAAATATTATCAAAATATCTGTATACAAAAAAAATGCAAAATTTTCTCGTTACTTAACAGCATAAATGAATGGATTCCAGAAGATTGAAACAGAACTATATATGAACAGCACAGGTCTGACTTCATGTTAAGGATAGTATCATCGTTTGAGCGGTAGAACAGAGCCACATGATATTAAAACTAACCCCACCATGATCCATGACCTTACTCCAGTGTTCAGTTTTGTCCTGTAATTGAATTATGAATATGCTTGCTAACATTCAGTCATCTACAATCTTCAAACGCCAAGCATAAAGAATAGAATACAAGATCCAACAAAGGTAAAACAAGTTAGCTTTGATTCAAGCTTCTGGCTTCTGCTCACTTTCTGGTATGACAGTATCTTGCAAATCAATCCGACCTGCATAACCACAGCGTGTTAATACATCAGCTGTAAAATAGCAGAGATATATACCAGATTATAGCCATCAGTCAATATTGGTCACTCTGGAAGAAACAAAGCTATACAAATGCTGCAATGCAATTTTTATTTGTCAAAGAATACTTCTAAACATATCCGATTAAGAAATTTTGCTACAAATGTAACTTGTTTTACTACATCCAAAGAAACCAAATCTTGCTGCATGGAAATTATTTACTACATCCAAAGAAACCAAAAGAAAGATTGCACACGTGGTTATGCATGCCTCACATGTCTGCATTAAGAATAGTTGTTCATACCTAACAAGGTAATCAAGGAAGGGGTCTTCAATGATCCATTTACTCTGATATCTGCATCTACAAAATATGTCAAAATCTGAGGATTAGTGTTGAATGCTTAACAAAAGGCAGTTTTTTATTCAGAAAGTATTTGTAGTCATCCCAAGGTGTAGTTTTTTATTTCTGAGTATTTTCTTCGGGCATGCCTACAGATGGAAGATCATCATTCCACTTCATCTCTTGAGATTCCGAAGAGTTTCAGGTAGTTTTTTTGAATGGTAAATTTATCCAGATAAGAAAATGCAATCTTTGCATGTCATTGCTAATACATTTCCTCAGATTTTATTTGTAGGATCAAATAGATTTAGATACCATCAATTTTAAATCTTCATCTAATAGTTAACGCTGTCTCTGACTACACTGAGATGAAATCAGCCAGCATGACCCCTCCTCAGTATTTAAGTTCTGTTAGTAAATTCTTTCAAGTTTCAACCAAGGGTTTCTGCATGAACTATACCAGCTTTCTTACTTCATAAAAATTAAAATCTACGAAATTGCCAACCAGGCGAGCATAAATCCAAAATAATGTGTTATGCTACAGAAGTATGAATAGCCATAAGTTGCATACCTGAGGTTTCAAGCGATTTAGGGATGTCTGACTTCTTAAAAGTATATCCTATGAAATTGTTATCTTTGGACGTCAGCATCTGTAAGAGGATCAAAAACAAAAATAAAATATCATAACATTGCAATTTTAAATAAATAGTTAATTATTAATTATCAAAGAAGCTGGAAAATTCAGAAGACAACAGAACTACTGTTTTTTTAGAAGAATAAAGACCTATTAAAGCAGAGTTTCAAATGGAATAAACTTGAAACACAGAAATAGAGACCACACTGCTTCAACTTGATATGTAGAATATACTGTACTACCATTGAAATAACGTTGAAATCAATATACCTAAAAAAGTAGTGCACTAACCAATGAATATCAGTAAATATAACAGGAGGAAGATGTACTTAAAAAAAAATTAAAGTCCAAGTTAATAGTTAAAGATATAATGCTACCAAAAGGAAGTTTTTTTTTTTTTATATCTTTGCACTTTCCCATCACACCTGCACACATATATATGCTAAAATGCAATGGGAAAGATCCTAGACAACAGCAGACGTGCAACTTTTAAAAGACTACCGAAGCATAATTTAAAGAGGAATACACTTGACAATAAATTATAAAATTTTATTAACAGGACTTAGAGACGTTACTTTGTTTTAATGAAATTATATAGCTCACTTATCCAGCAGAATATATTGTAGTCTTCACCAAAATAACACAAAAATGAATATAGACCTCTAAACCAAAAAAATGTAGTGCACTAAAATATGAATGTCAGTAAATATAACAGGAGGTGGAGTGGTGGACTTACTAATTAAAAACAGAAATCAGTTAAAGATATGGTGCAACAAAATGAAGCATTTGTTTTGTTATGTTTACACTTTGCCCACACACCGACATTAATATATACGCCATGAACAAGACAGACATGTAATCCCTTACTAACAATCTTGATAAATAACAAGCTTAAGAAAACAAATCACCTTCCGCCATGGTCCAACAGTGGCTGTTACAGATGGTGGGCCATCTACCTGCCAATGATTGAAATCACAAGTTTAGGTATATGTTTAGAGTCTTTGGAAATTTTGTCATTGATTCAATGTCAATAAATGATAACAAAATTTAAAGGCATGGACGGCCAAATAACACTCATTTCAAAGAAATCATTTGCAACTGTCATTGCCATCAATTATATTAAAATTAAATTATTTATAGACAGATATGGCTAGGTCGTATTCTTGTTCCATATAAAAGAATTTACAAGCCTCCACAGCATTGGACTTCTTTAATCCAATGTTAAGGAGTTTGATACTTGCTACCCCCTTCCCAGCTCTCTAAATATTGAATCATCTTGAGCCCTTATGTAGAACAAACAGTAGCAGGAAGAATAGTTTACTTTATGATGAAGATTGGGATAGAAATTGAGAGAGCACATATAACTAAACCATTTGGGATACAATCTTGCATATGCATAATATTTCATTTACATTCATCAAATGTTTGGTAATTAAATGATTTTAGAGCTTACACAAAATTATTGCATATGAATAAATTTTAATTATTTCTAATGCATAAAATTTAATGTAATATATACTTACTTCAGGAAACTTCTCAAAATTTTGAGTATCCAAGTCACTAGTGACTGTGGGTTTATATGCAGCTTCTGATTCATAAAGCATGTCCCACTGAACAGACTTGAACCATGGATGAGCCTGAAAAATCAAGTAATGATTTTTTAAGAGAGGACTTATGCAGATTATCAGGGCATACCACTAAGAGGCAAATTTCAGGGCATAACTTCGAAATCGGACTAGAATAAATAACTTGACACAAGGAAAACCAAATGAGAAATATGGTTTACTCAAGTATTTGAAGAAACTGGCATAAAAAATGGGCTACCAATAAGATTTGTCACCTTTATTTCTTCTACTCCTCTTGTACCTAGTCTTGAGTCAACGTCACATAGTAAGTGACAGATCAGATCCTTTGCTTCAGCTGATATCTTGGGTTCTTCAGGGAATTTCAGACATGTTTTCCAGTTAACAATCTGCAACAATACAGAAACAACAGGTTATTATGCATAAAAAGAAGATATAAAGTGGGGAAAAAATCAATCAATCATAATACCTTACGGCAGGCCATCCTTGGATCGTCAGAACAAAATGGAGGATACCCAATAATCATCTCATACATAATTGCCCCAAGAGACCACCAATCACATTCTATTCCATATCCCTTCTTGAGCAAAACTTCAGGTGCCATATAATCAAGAGTTCCAACAGTTGAATACGCCTGATAAAGTGTAAAAGTCGGCAATAATTAACAGAATATATAATAAAGACAAATACCACTTAATAATACACATCAGTAGCCAGTAACCTAATAAATTTTGTATATCATCTAGAGCATGTTTGTATTGGATTATTTCCTCTTTTTTTTCTTTCTAATCTCTCAGAAAGATTTTGATTATAAACTGATTTGAACACAACATAAACTAATCCAAACACAAATTTAGTCATTACTTCATATACTTTCTGATTGTTTTTAAGTTATGCCAATAATAGCTACAATACCCACTAAGGAACATGAAATGGGGGAAGAGAGGCGCACCAATGCACGGCGATTACGTTTCCACTGCTGTAATTGCTCCTTTGGCATCAACCAAGGAGAGGCAGAATATCCTTCAGTTTCACTGGTTGATTCTTGACCGAGATCTTCATTTTCCAATAAAATTGATGAATACTTATCATCAAGAGGCTTACATAACCCAAAGTCCGAAAGCTTCAAATGGCCATTTTTATCCAGTATCAGATTATCAGGTTTAATATCCCTACACAAGCAGAATATCTTAGCCTGAGCATAACTATACTTTTTTCAATAGAAAAAATTATTTACTAAGAAATTTTGAAATCTTCTCCGGAAACATTACATTTTGTAATCACCTGAATATTTTCTTAACATTGTTGAAAAACCAATTCACTGTACCATATTTTATATGAATCATTTAAGAACAGCATAAAAATGGACAACAACTGAACAGATGATGCATAAATATATTCCTTTACAATCTGAAAAGCTAAATATAAATTGCATATGCTCCACTCATAATCAGCATTCCTTGTAAAGAGCAGTAAGCTGCATACTAGAATAATGTTTTCTGATGATTTCAGAGCAGACAGTGAGTTATATTTTTGTTAGACCAAGCCATGAGCCATGTTGTAGCATACAAGTGTCCTCTGTCCCACTACTTATAGCCTCTTTTGCATAAAATGACCATACCATTAGCTACCAACAAAAGCCTTATCCCACTAGGTGATAATAGAACAAAATCTGAACAGTGCGATAATAGCCATACCTATGTACATAGTTGTGTTGATGTATTGAATGAATAGCAAGAATGCTTTCAGCAATGTAGAAGCGAGCAACATCTTCAGAAAGAATATCTTCTCTCATTAACAACGTCATGATGTCACCACCAGGTAAATATTCCATGATGAGATATAGGAATTCCGAATCTTGGAATGAATAATGCAGTTTCACTATGCATCTGCTATCAACCTCAGCCAGCAAGTTCCTCTCAGATCGAACATGTTCCACCTATATTAGATTTACATCATTATATAAAAACAAGCATACAAAATAATCCCCAAGGTCAGAATAACATCTAAAGATATATTTTGGTTTACATGCATTGAAATTCTTAATCCGCCACATAATTGAACCCTAAGCTCCTTCATAATGAATGTTTTTATTCCATTTTTATCCAATGCCATAGAGAGAGCTGCTGGAAACAGCAGGAAGGTATAAGGAAGAAGTAAGTTGTTTTTATTGTAAAGTGCCTTCTCTACAAAGAAAAGCAAGATGGTCACACAAAAACATGTCAGACAACCTCAAGTGGATATTATCTACTGACTACCACTTTGTTTTCCACTGGACTGAATTTCAGTTATAAAGTTGATTTTTTACACCTTACAGTGTGATGATCTCATGCAGATAGATATTGGAAATTGGTGTTGAAATAACTCTGCCTACCAGCTTAACAGGTTAACCATTTAGAAAACTACATAATATAAAAGAATTCACATTTGCTAAGATGCAAATTAGCAGAGGCATGCCAGCTAGATCACTTAATGTTGGGTATTAAATTTACATTTTACCATATATAAGATAAGAGCCAAATCTTCATAATTCATAACATCAGTCAGTGTAATTGGGAAAGTATTAATGAAATCAACTAAACAGAGAAAATAAAAATAAAACACTGATGAGTTGTGAACTAGAATTTTGGTTGTTTCCTGCAATAACTAGTATGAATATGAAAATTGACGCATTTAAGTGTTATGCATTAAGTTTGACAGCTGGTACCTGTCCGCGACTAAGCATCTCTGACTTCTTCAATTTCTTCATGGCAAAAATCTCTCCTGTACTTTTAGCACGACATAACCTCACCTACATTTCCCGAAAAGTTAAAGAACTTGTGGTGATGCACAAACGCATTGATTCTTACCAAGAACACACTACATCATAAAAAACCAAAGGTTCGAGAAGTAAGATTTTGTTAAATGTACCTCACCAAAAGCACCTTTGCCAATCACTGTTAACTGCTCGAAGTCATCAATTCCAATCTTACGTCTCTGAAGCCTCATGTACTCAGTTTCTCGCCGCTCCAAATTCCTCATCATTTCCTCCTGCTCCTCAACCGATATCTGAGATTCTTGCACTCTTCTCTGAAGCGCTCTGCGTCTGCAACAAAAAGAATCACAAACGTATAATCTACATATCCACTTATTACACCCTGATTAATTTGAATAATATGATATTATACTTTACCAGCAATCATGTATACCACATTATACACAAATTATTAGACACTCATAGTAATAATAACTAATAATATCATAATTAGCATTAACTTATCTTCTAACAACACTAGCGTTTTAACAAAGTTGTTCAATAAAACATCATCAACTTAAACTCGTTCCACTTAACAAAAACTATTCAACGAAAATCCATGAAATTCAACATTAAAAATACTAAATGCTGTGTTTGTATACATATATATATATAAAAACATGAGAGTTTTTCAACTATCAGAAAGGAGAAAATCCGAAACAAGGCTAACACGTTGTCGGCGAAGAGAATTCGGAAGCGGAGGAAGAAGAACGGAAAAATAAACGCGAGAGGAAGGATTCATAATTTGCATTGAAACCAGAAGTATTGAATGCTTCACCGCGAATTCGAATGAATGAGAAATAGTCTTTGCGAAATTATTAAATGCAAACCAGAACAGTGAAATAGGAATGAATGAATGAGTGAGTGAATAGGTAAGCTAGGTAGCGTAGGAACCTGTCTTTGCGATCCTGCAATCCTTGGAGATAGTTTTTGTAATGATTCTCGATGAACTGCTTGGCGGCGGCGGCTTTCTGCCGCGTGACCGGCGAGGAGACGGACACGTCGGCGGCGGCGGCAGCGTCGAAATCGGCGGCGCGATCGTGGCGCAAGTTGAGGGCGCCGAGCCTGACGGTGCCGTCGTAACCGTCCATTGGGATGGGCGATGGAGAGATCTGCGATGTGACGTGCAGAGCAAGGAATAATGAGGTGCACGCGTGAGATGGTGGTGCCTGCGTTGTTGTTGTTGTTATTGTTGTTGGTGTTGGTGTGAGTGGGAAAACCAAGTACTACTTGGAAATTGGTTCAGAGCTGTAGCAAGCTGTCTTATAACTCTGAGTTGTCTCTTCTTCACACCTTCCGCTTTTGTTTCTTCGCTTTAATCTAGAGCTATCACATTTACTATTACTAATAAACTTCCCTTCATTTATTAGGGTTTAATGCTAATCCACTTTCAACTCAAAAGGATTTTACCTTTCTTTAATAAGCTAATTATCTTAAAAATTACTAATAAATTTACTTTACTCCAATTCAAAACTTATTAGAGTGAAAGAAAATAAAATCATCCATTATAAGAAAACACGAGGATTAAAATCATACCTTTTTTAAAATACATAATAAGGAGTAAAATCAGTTTTATGCCAAAAGAAAAATACCCAAAATTAAAATAGAAAGGGTAGGGTAGAAATAAGAAAGCTCCAATCTTGTCTTTTTGTGAGTTGCACTATAAGCCAATGACCCTGATGAATAACCGCTTGTCTTGGCTTTTTATAAAAGATTTTCTAGAAATTAAAAACAAATTAAAATTAAAAAGGAATTTCTTATGAAATAAAATGTTTTTCATACATAATATATAGATACATAGATTATTAGGGTTAGTCTAGTAGTTGGGTGAAAAGGAATTAAAATAGTTGAAAATATGAAAATTTAGGTTTAATTTTCGTTACGACTATTTTTATTAAAAATATATATAATTAATGTGTACCGGAAGGTCCCTATCGGTCACGTTGACCAA